CCATATACTCAATTACAGCGAAGGCTATCTTCAACACATATGAAATATAACACTCCACCTGTTGAGCTGTTCATTTTCGGGGAATTGCTTTTAGGAAGTTTTGCAGAGCAACTCAAAAAGCGTCAGAACTTTAAACAAAACTGTCAGCAAAACTTGGAGGGCAAATAAAAGATGCTTGGCAGAGTGAGTTAGTATGATGCAAGACAAACAAAAAACTTTACTGTTTTGCTGTTGTGACTGAATACTTTGTTTTACAAGCCTCCATTGATTCGGACTGATGGTTAATCATGACTTCATTTAATGATACATTTTCATCTTTTCTTTTTTTAATTCTACAAGGATGGAAACTTGTTTCCGCCACAGGATGGACAAATGAATGAATAAATAAAGTAACTATTTATCTCACAAATCAGACATTTTTTTTTTTTAAAGATTTTTTTCACATTTTTTAAGTGCTTCCATAATGAAGGCTTATAATGAAGTTTGCACTGTAATGGAAGTAGTGACAGATCTTTTCTTCTGCATTGTAAAGCACATTAACAATAACATATATAAACTGCCTTTAAAAATGCATAGGGTGAATTTTGATGTAATTTCAACTTTAAATAGCCTATTTGTCAACATGCAAGTCAGTATGCAAGAACGTGCATAACTATGACCAGAAACATACTGTACAACAATACGCAGACATGTATGTTTGACCAATGCTTTGCATGTGTGTGGTCTTGAGTTTACTGTTTTCCTTGCTATAGTGCCCCGTGTGGCAATGCTTAGAATATAACACATGCTTGTGTCAGAGCTTAATCGATGATGCAGCGCATTCGGAAGTACAAAAATCACTTTGAGCGCATGTTGCCAGAAGCATCTGTATTCGGTTTATTGCGTAAAGTATGGTTCGGAATAAAGTTGCAATCAAAAGGAAGTAGCGACAGACCTCTTCTTCCATATTGTGATGTACATCTGAGTGTAGCAGCTTATTGAAAAAGGAAAACAAAATGTAGGAAGGGATTTGGGTTTATTCATCAGTTGTTAATTGGATTTTGAGATGTGGGCATTGAAATCAAAAATAATTGTGTGTTTGCAGTGTATTGTGGATGGATGGGTTAAAGCAGACTAAATGATTGGAGACGCCTGACATATGTCACCAGAGAGAAGTCTGATGTTGGAAGGTCCAGTTGACATTTTGATTAAAAATTACAAGGTCCAAAAAAAATAAAAAATAAATACAAAATTAAATGAAACATGAAAGGATAAATCTTTCACAATAAGATCAATAACATGCATTAAGAAAACAGATGGGGTGAATTTCCATTTCATGACAACTTTAAAGGTATGTTTGACTGCAGATTAGAGATGCATTAGAAACGTATTGCCAGATGTATGAGAAAATGGCTGGAAAGAACATTTCTTCTCTTCTCTGTGTCCTAAGAGTTCCTCCTTAATCTTAAAATGACTGATGAGTTCCCTACTTGCACAAATATATAAAGTAGAATGTATGAGTGTGTATGTTTGAGTGTGTGTAGCTGCATTGCGAAGGGGGGGACCATGATGAAAACAGGATGAAAACTGTCACATGAAAAGCTCTGCGAATTTCGCTTTTTATCCTTTTCAGGCCTGTATTCCGGTACAGTGTTTTTAAGGAAATTAACTGCTAATTTCAGATAATGACCGTATTTCCTTGACTGAAAAAGAAGCTCAATCAGGCAAGAAGGACACAAAATATACATTGTGTGCCGCCTTGCCCATTTTTTTCTTTATTTATATATTTTTTTTCTTTAACAATTCCTTAAACCTTCTGACCCATGAATCAAAATCAGCCGGGGATGGAATAAAATTAAAGTTAAAACACATTCTCAAAACTCATAAACTCCATCCATGTAATTTTCCCTTTGCAAACTGACTAATGTAAAGTTTTGATGGTTGCATCAAAAGCAGGTTGAAATATCTACAAAAATGAATTTGGATGTTAAAACGTGCTTTAGGAAACTAGTGAGACTTCAAAACAAAGGACAGCTTACGCAAAAAAACATAACTGTTTGTTTCTCATTAGACCCGAAGCTAGTTCTCTATAAAGTCCTGATCATGAATCATTCTCATTTCTGCTGCAAGGAGCTGTGTTTTGGATTCAGGTGAAGATGACAGCATTGTCTCTGTAGGTCTTTGTGTCTGTTACGCTAATTGACAGGAGGCTGCGACCGCAAGAAGTCCTGGCTCGTCCCCAGAGTCGATGACATCAATATCATCCTCATAATCTCGCAGTATCTTCTGAGCATGCTATATGCTCTAGTCTGAGCCCTTCCCAGTCGACTCGGCTGCGATTTTCTCTCCTGTTTGTTTACCAATGGACAGATCCCCGCTAGGGACCGTCTGCTATCGATTGAGAGCCTTTCGTCATTGTTGACGCTCCTGTTATTAGAGAGATCCACACACACACACACACACACACAGGCAGGCACCGAGTTCAGCATGAGAAGCAGTTAGCTGAGGGACTCGGTGTCATGGAGTGGGTCTGATCCCCAGAGCGCTCGTCCATCAGGTACGCATACACCAGCCAAAGTGGGCCATTTGGTAAGTGAGTCACTCTTGAGTCTCTTGACGCTGCAGAACAACAGACACCAGATAATGGCATCTTGCCTTTCAAGACGTCAGCGGTACGAGGGATGATGCGGAAAAGAAAGCCCTTGCAAATCTGCTCCAAAACTAAATTTAATATCCTCATTACGCATGTGACTCAGAAGGTGCAGCATCTACTAATGCAATCTCCTCATTTAAGGACAGGGGTGATTTAATAATCACGCAGTTCAGCCAAGAAACAGGTGCAAGATTGTTAACATTTATATTACGATATTAAAGGGGTCATATGATGTTGCTAAAAAGAACATTATGTTGTGCATTTGGCGTAATGAAATGTGGTTATGCGGTTTAAGATTCAAAAAACACATTATTTTCCACATACTGTACATTATTGCTTCTCCTCTATGCCCCGCCTTTCTGAAACGCGTCGATTTTTACAAAGCTCATCGGTCTGAAAAGCGAGGTGTACTCTGATTGGCCAGCTATCCAGTGCATTGTGATTGGCCGAATACCTCAAGCGTGTGACGGAAATGTTACGGCCCTTACCATATTGTGATGCTGTGTCCCGGAGTGACGAGACAAAACCAGTAAAACCCATTATAAACGAGGCATTTGTTGCATCCAGTGAACATGGCGGTGACGGCAACAACAATAAAGTTACGCCTTCTTTCTTTGCGTGAACATTTGGGTGGCGTTATGCAAATCTTCCCACACAGTGACGTAGACACGTGGGGGCGTGTTTAAACGAGGTGTTTTAGGAGGGGCGTGGACCAGTCTTAATTTTTATATAGAATATCTCTTTGGGTGTGAGACTTTAGTCTTTGCAACTTTAGGGATCTTAATTCACGAACAGCTTGTAACACTCCAAAGAGAAAGGAAAACTTGAAATCGCATCATATGACCCCTTTAATATATAATAGTTAATGTTGCATTTTCTCCATCTAAGCTCAGTCTTCTCAGTTCGTAACATCCTTCCAGAAAGAGAAAGCCTGCTTCATCATAATTAAAATCACTCCTGCCATCTACTGGCCTGTCTGGAGCAGTGGAATACGTCACGTATTTACCTGACAGGAGACTGAATCCACTGCCAACATTCAGCAATAAACAATATCTGTGGAATTCATGTTTAGACCTTCCACATGTGAGCTGAACAAACCTTTTAAGATATAATTCACATGCACTCTAATTCACATACATTTAAAGACCAAGATCATGCACTTATTTAGTTCATTTTAGGGATTAATGTCAGTTGAGCATAAGAAGTAACTTCTTGAGGCACATCAAATTTCACACACACCTCATACCATTAAAAGTTTCTTCAGTGGTTCTTTGAACACCTTCAACTCTTTAACTTCC